ATAACACAAAATATTCAGGAAATTTGGGACACCGTGAAAAGACCAAACCCAAGGATAATAAGTATAGAAGAAGGTGAAGAAACCTAACTCAAGGGTGCAGAAAACATATTCAACAAAATCATAGAAGAAAACTTTCCCAACTTAAAGAAAGACATGCCAATGAAAGTAAAAGAAGCCTACAGAACGCCAAATAGAGTGGACCACAAAAGAAAGTGCCCTCGTCACATAATTATTAAAACACCAAACGTACAGAATAAAGAAAAAATATTAAGAGCAGCAAGGGAAAAAGGCCAAGTAATATATAAAGGCAAACCTATCAGAATTACACCAGACTTCTCCATGGAAACTCTGAAAGCTAGAAGGACCTGGATAGACATTCTACCAACTCTGAGAGAACATTGATGCCAGCCCAGACTACTATACCCAGCAAAGCTTTCAATCACTATAAATGGAGAAAACAAGATATTCTATGACAAAACCAGATTTAAACAATATGTAACCACTAATCCAGCCCTACAGAAAGTACTGGAAGGAAAACTCCAGCCTAAAGAAATTAACTACACTCACATAAACATAGGCAATAGATAATCCTACTCTACAAAAACACAAAATAAAAGGCAGGGTAAATTAACATACAATACCAGTACCAACAACAAACCAAAAACAAACAAGAATAAACACTGAATGGACCTTAATTTCCCTCAATATTAATGGTCTTAACTCGCCTATAAAAAGACACAGGCTAACAGACTGGATACAAAGACACATTTTTTGTATTTCCCATTTCTGATAACAAATTTAGTTCCTGTTTAAGCCTTTTATATAGGGAAGTTGGAAGGGGAAATAGTGATGTATATGATCATATTTCATTGTATGCAATACATGTATGAGATTCTCAAGAATAAATTAAAAAATCCAATCCTGAGTCCTGCTGAGTTTAATGATGCAAACCTTTAATCTTAGGAGGCAGAGACAGGCAGATTTCTGTGAACTTACGTGGGTGTTAGGAAGTGTACTCCAGTGCTATGAAAGGGGCCTTAATCACTGAGCCATCACTTCAGCCCTCTTACTTGTTTGAATGGGAGCAGTTGGTCCAATTTTTCAGTGCCATATAATGTACAAATTTGACATGTACATTAATTTAAATATGTAGACTATTTGTAACCTTCACTTGAAATGCATTTTGAAATAGTCTTCTACTGCAATGCATGATGATTTTTTTAAAATTGAATTAATTTTTAAAGTTAGCATATGGATTAATGGGTTCTATTATGACATTTTTGTATATTTGCATCACTGTACTTTTGGACTTTTAATCTTTAACGCACAAAGAAATGGGTTCATTATGGCATCTTCAAACATGTGCCCTTAATATTTTGTTCTACTTTGTCCCTCTCTCCCCCAAACCCTCCACTACAAAGCCTTAGCTGAGAAAACATCATTTCTTCATTTTAATATCTGTTTGTCACCTTTATACAATTTTATTTAAAGTAGGAATTCCATTAAAATTTTTGGTCTTCTCTTGTCTAGATATATCTTAATTGGCTCATCCACTAGTCATTGTGAGATCCAAAGTAAAGGAGTTGCCTGGAGTGATCCTCTCCCAGAATGTGAAAGTAAGTAATCTTTCTGATGTGGCTATAAACATAACTGTCTTAGGGAATGTGTCTGTGTGTTCTTCCTGACACTTATAGCTTCCATATATATTGGCAATAATTTTATCATTGTTCTGATGCCCATCCCTGAACATTTCTTTCTCTTTCACTAATTTCTCAGTTGTCAAGTGTAGGTCCCCTCCTGAGATCAGCAATGGGAAGCACACTGGTGGAGATGAAGACTTCTACACATATGGCTCCTCTGTCACCTATAGGTGTGATCCTACCTTCTTACTCCTTGGAAGTCCCTCCATTACCTGCATTGTAGTGAACAAAACAGTAGGTGTTTGGAGCCCAAGCCCTCCTACCTGTGAAAGTAAGTCCCAGTGATACTTTCTATTGTTCACTTAACATTTTGCTTAAAAGAAAAAAGAAGATGAATTCATTGTGGGAAGTAGAACAATTTAAAGGTAAATGAGTGGATGTGCATATGCCTCTATTATTTGGCTAAGAGATACTCAATGCATTAGAGTGGCAAACACCATATCACATTGATTCGGTAAAGTAAGAATTTTTCATTTATCTGTAGTCTGTTCTAAGATGTTGGCTGCATATAGACAACCTTCCGTGAGAGCATCCTGGACATGCCAACAACTTAGAATAAAGCTGAGAAGTCCAGGTTCTTTGGTCTCATGCCATTTCCATGTGGAAATATGTTTCTTTAGTAGCAGAAAGAAAAATAAGTTTTATCCTTTAGCTGGGAGTGACTACATTGCTACCTTTTATTTAGAACTAATAATATGCATGTGTTTTTATATTCTGTTCTTGAGCTGGACGTGTCAGATCTAAGAGTTTATCAGATCTAAGAGTTTTCAGATGAAATCTTTAAAGTTGTTTTTTTTAATTATAGGACATGGCATCTGCAAACAGGAATGCTTTGAGTTCTTCCTTTACTATTTGCATTCCTTTTATTTCTTATTCTTGTCTTATTGCTCTAGCTAAAACTGAATAAGAGAAACAAGAGTAGGCACCTGAGTCTTACTACAGATTTTAGAGAAAATACTCTGATTTTTCCTATTTAATATGATGATGTTGGTTATAGTATAGGAAGCATGTAGATACTGTGTTCCCAGATAAGCACTAGGGAGACCAGGATGTCAGGCATGCAGGGTTGTCTCTTCAAAGGGAGAGATGTATAACCTGGTCTCCACCCAGAAGGCTGGTAATAGATGTGGTTGATAGCCTAGTGACCTCTGCACTATCTGTGTGGCCAGTCCACATGGATACCCCCAGACTCATACCTTGAGCTTGTTCATCTCAATCAATCTATAACACTACTTCCCCCAGATCCTTATCATGAGCATTGTTTAACTTGAGCCTATTTGCTCAGTTAATCTATCGAAGCCATCTTTATGAAAGATACCACTTGTACTTTACAAGATACCACTTGTACTTTACAAGAGTTTCAGTGTAACCATGTCTTAAGCTTTGCTGTGCATATGGAATTGAGTTATTTACCACAAGGAAACTTTACCCCAAATTGTGCTGTGCTTAAATATGCCTAAAATAACCTACCAAGGAACCAACAGCAGCTACCGAGTGTAAGCCCCTCAAGCCACACCAGTGGCCAAGCCCCTCCTCCCCTGAGGACCTCTAATTGTCAGGTCCCACCCACAGAATAACTGCCCTAACTGCTGGACCCTGCTGCCACCCTACAGAGTAAAAGCCCGATTTCTGGATGTGAAATCCCACCAATCTCCATCCTGGAAAATTCTACCCTGAAAAGCTCTACCCCCATTCCAAGAAACACTATATAAGCTCTGTATCCTGCTCAGTTGGCTACTGTTTCTTGCTCCAGCCACCATCCTGTTTTTTTTTTTTTTCTTCTCCCAATAAATCTCCTGTGTGAGGTTTGTTGTGCAGTGCGACTTTGTGTTATTCCTTGGCTCCCGGTTGCCAAGATACCTTTCCCTTCTGAGCTGTAGGTATTGCTTTGCTTCTGACTACCAGGATACCTGTCTAACAGAGCTGTAACACTTACACTGGGTCCCTGTTGAATGGACTTTCTTGCTTCCTGTAGATTGACATTCTGATGGCTGTGGTGTTTGCAAAACCCCCACCACCACACCCACCTCCTGGCTGCTACACACACACAGGTTTGTTGTTTATAGCCTTTGTAATGTTGAGGTGTGGGCCTTCTTTCCTACTTCCTTCAGTAATTTTATCATGCAGACATGTTGAGCTTTGTTGAAGGCATTATCTGTATCAGTTGAGATGATCATGTGATTTCTGTATTTAAGTCTATTTGTATCCTGAATACACACACATGCACACACATACATACATACATACATACATACATACATACATACATACATACATACATTGTTTCTTTGAGACAGGGTTTCTCTGTGGCCTTGGAGGCTGTCCTGGAACTAGCACTTGTAGACCACGCTGGTCTCGAACTCTGCCTGCCTCTGCCTCCTGAGTGCTGGGATTAAAGGCTTGTGCCACCACCTCCCGGTAAATATATTACCATACTGATTTTCTTATGTTGAAACAACAATGGATTCATGGCATATGATCATTTTAATATGTTTTTGGATTTGGCCCATAAAATTTTATTGAGGTGTTTTTAAGTTTGTTTTGATCAGGGAAATTGGTTACCATGTGGGTCTTTGGGATTGAACTCAGGTAGTCATGCTTGGCCAGCAAGTGTCTTTAGCCACCAAGCCGCTGACTTTTATCCTTTGGCCATTTTTTTTTTCTGATGTTTTGAGACGGGGTTTCCCTGTGTAGTTTTGGAGGCTGTCCTGGAACTAGCTCTTGTAGACCACGCTGGTCTCGAACTCCACCTGCTTCTGGGATTAAAGTGCTGGGATTAAAGGCATGTGCCACCACTGCCTGGCCCCTTTGGCCATTTTTAACATGATGTACTGGAGGGGTCTTTCTCTTGTCATGTCTATTTTGGGTTCTAAATGCCTCATGTATTTGAAATCTTTTCTGTAGATTTGGGGAATTCTCTGCTAATCTTCCATTGAGTAGATTCTTTATGCTTTTACTATTATCTTACTTTTTTCTTCTATCCTGGGATTCTTAGATTTTTCATCTTATCTCTGATGATTAAGGTTAACTATCAACATGACAGAATGCATAGTCACCTGGAAGACAGCCTCTTAGGCATGCTTGTAGTGAGTGCCTTCATTGTGTTAATTGGGGTAGAAGAGTTGTTCACCCATCCTCCTGACCACAATTGCTGCTCTGGGCCTTTCCTCACTAGGGACTGGAGCAGGCCACACTAAGGCTCCTTTACCTGGGGCTTTTTTTTTTTTTTTAAACCTCAGGCCCATAGGGTAGTTCAGTTGTAGAAAGAGATATTCTTTCAAGATTGTGCCTGCTCTGCTGCTGCCTCCAAAGTCATATAGTCCTGTGAAAAAGGGGATTTTTCTTCCCAGCTGGTCCCATCTGCCTGTCTCATCAAAATCCACAACTGGACCTGAGGCTTATGAGGGTTTTTGGCTTGTCTTGAGAGTCAGACTTCCCGACTTTCTGTCTGGCTTACCCTTTTGGGTGCCTTCTGCTCCCCTACTCCTACAGGGAATTGAGGAGCTGAGGCTGTGTTAGATTTACTTCTCTCTGTCAAGGGTCTTCTCCAACCCTACCCTCATCTTTTCTTACATCCTTTTCAATTACTTTGTGGATTTCTAAAGCTCTTTCTCTATTTCTAAATGAAGTCTTATTCTGACTTTTTAGAGGCATCCCTTAGTCTTCAATAAAATTCCTATTACTACTTATGTTAATTCTTCTAGATTTTTTTTGGTACCCAGGGCCTTATGCATACTCAGTTGGAACCCTTCCACTGAGCTTTATCCCCAGATCTCAAATCATCTGTGATGTGTGTGCATGTGTGTGTGTATGTATGTGCACAGGTGCATGAGTGCCATGGCATGTATGTGGAGGTCAGAGGACAACCTTGGAGGTGAATACTGACCTTCAACCTTGAGGCAGCCCTCCTACCCTGAGGCAGGCTGTCCCTATGGGTGCCTCCCCAGAACTGGGATTAAAGGTGCACACTACCATGTCTGGCTTTGCTTCTCTGCTGCATACACAAAGGTAACTGTCCTCCCAGCATTGGAGAAGTCTCCTGTCCTCTCACAGAATTACTGAAATTACAGATGTATGATACCATGCTGGATTTTTATGTGGGTTCTAGGGATTCAAACTTAGGTCCTTGTGTACACTTTATCCACTGAGCCATTGCCCCAGTACCTTTTAACTTTTAAAATCTACTTGTCTTTTCTTGTAATTATTTAGGAATCATCTGTCCTCAGCCAAATATTTCAAATGGACTAATTCGTTCCAGATTGAGGACTACCTATAAATACAAAGACTCTCTTATATTTGCCTGCCAAAAAGGGTTCACTCTCAGAGGCAAACATATAATCTATTGTGGAGCTGATGGCAACTGGAATCCTCCTCCTCCCATTTGTGAGCTCAGTAAGTATGGACCATAAAGGAGTTTCATTGGTTGGCAACTAAAGATACCCAGGTATATTTGTGTGGACATACTTTTACATCTAGATTCTGAATCACAAAATTTTAAATTTGGATTTTAATTTTTATCTTGTTTTCTTTCTTTTCTTTTTGGTTTTCTGAAACAGGGTTTCTCTGTGTAACAGCCCTAGATGTCCTGGAACTCTCTCTGCAGACCAGGCTGGCTTCAAAGTCACAGAGATCCACTTGCCTCTGTCTCCCAAGTGCTGGGATTAAAGGCATGAGCCACCACCAGCTACCTTGTTTTCTTGTTTACGCAGTTATTCACCCCAGTCCTAACGAGAAGCGCTGATGTTGTAGACATAGAAGATTAGTATACTTGTGTCATTAATTTTTGGCAGTTAATAGATAATTGCCTAACAAAATGATTTTTGGAAGTCAGGTAATAAAATATCCCTTTTTAATTTGTACAAAAGTATTATATGGACTAGACACTCTAAAACAAGTAACTTGTGGATCTTTTTAATAGTGATAAAAGTTGTAATGTTAAGTTGGAATGAGTCTTGGTTCATAAAAAGAATGAAAACAATCAATGAATTGTGGGCAGGATTATTACCCTAATTTGGCAGATGAGGAAACATTTTCGGAAGGTAAGTGACTTCTCAAGGTCATACAACTTCTAAGGGGAGGAGGCCTCTGATGCCTTATATTCTTAGTTTCACACTCATGAAGCATTATGTATCTTTTTCTTAGGGACAGTGGTACAAGTGGTGGGGCAGATCTCTGTCCCGGAGAAGCATCTATTAAACTGACCAAAACTAGTAAAGAAACTATTCAGTGTGTATTAGAGAATATTTAAAGGAGTTACAACCAATTGAGAAGCATTTGTTCATCGAATCCATGGATGCTTGATAGAAATATTGAGAGGCCGCTGTATGAAGCTAGCATCAACACTAACTCATTGAGAACTGTTTCTGTGAACTCACAAATGGAAGCTCCCACCTGCTGTTGGGTGAAAGATATGCTTGGGATGGACTGTTATAGAATAGTGTGAATTTTCTAAAATGCCATGTTGTGAAAAGCTTATATTAAGCAGATGTCAGCAGCCAGACATCAGGTCTGTTCCTCCATCCACCTTCCATTGCATAGGATGGAGAAGCCAGGTGAGGCAGCTGCAGCAATTGTGTCCTCCTGCTTCTGAACAGATCCATCTTGGAAGAGAAATGGTCTAGTAGGTTGCCCAACAAACTGTCACCCCCCCAGTTCCTCTATTTTATAGACTTGAAAACCAGCAAATATTGACAGATTTCATTCTCTTGACTCTGGGCTGTAGACTATGGGTACAGCTGGATGCAGGACTCCTTATTGATACACCCCTTCTCCCATTCCACAGTCCCTACACTACAGAAAGGGTTCTGGTGAAGGAATTGACTTATTCTTTACAATTTCTGTCTGTAGCACAAGACAACCACATTATGCTAACTAAGCCAATCTCAGAAAGACGAACATCATATGTTTTCCTCTCATTTCTGGTTTCTAGATTATTTATCATTACATAAAACCTTGTATGAGTATATGCTGTAAAGGTAGAAGTGAGATAGGGGGACAAAGCAGACTAACAGGAGAGGTACTGATGAGAAAAGGGACAAAGCATATGAAGGAATCTGCTCAATGTATATACTATACACTTGTATGAAAATTCCCTTCTGAAGCACAGTATGGGTAGTTAACATACACAGCAAAAATCAAATAAAGATAAATATTCCAGAGTAGATTTAGAACAAGCTTCAGAAACTTGAACACCCTACACCCCAAGAGCCCCCTGACTTTAATTGGGCCTGACTATGAAGTAATGTATGTCCTCAGAAACAACACTGGAGCAATCAGATAATATTGGACACTAGCCATTGTACATACTACTACAGAGGTAGATCAGCTAAAAGTGCAACAAGAGAATCAAAGAGAAAAATTAGTTGTTCCAGGTAGTTAGGAAGATTGTGTGTATGCTCAAGACTGTGCTTTCTGAGGTATGTCATTAGATGTCACAAACTTGAGGGAAATAGATTCAACTTAAAGACTCCAGTCAAAACACAAAACAAATAAGAAAACAAGGAAAATAACAAGTCTCGAAGGTGATAAGGGGAAAATAGTATTTAAATTGCTATTATTTCATATGCTCACTTTTCAAGAAATAATGGTCAGCTATGAAGAAATCACAAAGAGTTACTCACACGAAGCAATAAAAACTGCCTTGGATTGGCCCAAATATAAGACTAAACAGAAAAGATTTTCAAAATAACTATTATAAATAAATATTTAAAATTCAAAGGAAATATTCTTTAAAGAATTAAAGGAAAGTATTTTGACAATGTCTCATCAAACAGAAACGTCAATAAAAATAAATTATTTTAAGAAAGTGTGAGAATTGAAAAACACAGTAAGTAAATGGAGATTTATAAGAGGAACTCAATAATAAACTCAAGTAAGATGAAGAGAGAATCGATGACTTTATAGATAGAAACAATAGAGATTATGTGATCTATAGCATAGAAATAAAAAAGGAAGAAAAGAGGAGCAGAGCACAAGAGGAATATTAACAAGAATTTCAAAAGGAGAAGAGAGATAAAGGAAGAGAAAATTATTCAGAGAAAAAATGATCAAACATTTTCCAAATATTTTCTTGTACATCCAAAAAGATCACTTGAACTTGAGAGTTACATTTTAAAAGTTCAAGACATGGCAATACCATAGTGAAAATAGTGAAAGGTGAAAATAAACAGAAAACACTTTTGAGAGGACACAGCAAGGGAAAAACAGCACATCAACAAAATTAATATCTGGGTTTTGATTAGAGATGATGGAAGCTACACGGCAGTGAGAAGGTAAGCTTCAAGTAAAGAAAAACTGAAACCAACAATTCAATAAAACATCCCACTTTCATATTATTGGAAACAACAGATAAAATTACTACTTTATAAAATTTTTTGTGCCAGGTATTTATGACAGTGGAGAGAAAAACAGAGTGTAGCTATATATTTATAGCTTCCCTTCTCTCTCCAGATACCTCCTTATTGTTCTTGTGCTGGGGACCAAACCCAGGTCTTTACACATGGTAGGCAAAGCTGAGTTATACACTATCAGAGAGTCTATAGGAAGAAATGACTTCTTATAGATCCCAGCTAATATTGTCAAATATATCTTTGTCTATAGCTGCCACCCTGAAAATAATTAAGCTATTTTCATTTTTTATAGCATGCTCCTTAAATCAGTTGTATAGAAGAAATGGGCTTTAGCTTACTCTTTGTATCCAGTTTCCACATCCAGAAATTTAATCAACTGTGGATTTAAAATATTTGAAAAAAATCTATCTGTACTAAACATGTACAGTTCTTTCCCTAAACACTCTAGTGAAACAGTTATTTACCAATATGGACATTATCTTAGACATATAAGTAACAAAAGAGATAGCTAAGTAAATGGGAAGAGGTATGGGAGTTGTGTGGAAACATTGTGTTATTTACACTACAGCCTTGGGGATTTATGGACTGTGGATCTTTGGAAATCTTGCAAATCCATCCCCATTGCTAACAATGTATGGATGATTGTATCATCCCCTTACTTCTTATTTGTCTATACAAGGACCTTTCATGTGCTCATGTTTCCCTGGATGCTTCCACCAGAACAAGTTCCTCTTTATTTCTTGCAAAGATGGTCTTTTAGCAATAATAAATAATATCAAAATGCTTATTATAAAAAACCTGACAATTTTTTTCCAAATTTGTGGAAAAATTAGAGCTCTACATACTACTGGTGGGCATCTAAATTATTACAGACATTACAGAAAATGATTTCAGCAGTTCCTCTGAAGTTTGAGCATGTGGTTACTGCTTTATTCACAATCAATTCCCTGGGTATGTATTAGAGAGAAATAAAAACAGATATCTGCACAGAAGATTTTCATGAAAGTTCAGAGCAGCATTATTCCTAACAGCCAATAATGCAAACACCCATCCATGGGAAAATGCTGATAAATTGGTATAGCTCTACACTGGAATATCATACAGAATAAAAATGAAGTAGTGATAAATGTTGAGCATAGATTAATTTTAGAGTATGGTCTTTAGTAAAAGAAGCCAGCTACAAAAAAGGAAAGAAAACGTATTGTGTGATTCCATTTATTTAAGAAGCTCAGTGTAGAAGTAATATTAAAAACATGGGGTTTCTTCATGAGATGATAAAGATAGCCTGAAATTGGACAGTCAGGAAAGCTGCACCACTCTATGAATACTGGAAGACTGTCAATCTGTACTTCCTGAAGGGTTTTAATCTATGTCTCTTGGTGACTGTTTAGAGATATAACGTAATAGACATCAACTCTACAGATGTGTGTATTACATATGAACTAACAGTCCCAGACAAGGGAAGAAGAAAAGTCTCAAAGCCTAGGCTCAAAAATGTTAGTGCTTTGTTTGCTCTTGTTCTGAGTTTTCCTAGATGAGGGAAATGACTCTTGTTCAATTTCTCTAGTCAAGAAAAAACACAGCAGTTTTTGTTGTCTATGAAAGTTTTCCCACCATTTTCATTTAACAAGCCTCATGCTACAATTTAGAAACAAAACTGTGTGAAGTACAATGGAGAGAAGAATTACTGTTGAGTGCAGTTGGCATAGCACACAGACAGCATTTGGTAGTGCCTTTGGTAAGAACTGTCAGGTGCTGGGCCAAGATTGGCAAACATCCTACATTTTCTGGTGTGGTCAGTGTGTGCTATGGAAGAGTAGCTCCTGTTGGTACCCTTTGATGAGGCATGCTCTCTGAGTGCTATGGCAGCCCTTTTAACAATGTTCTTTTCTTTTGCTTGTTTTATGAGCAGCTAGTTGCCCTAATACACCAGACATTCCACATGCTTCCTGGCTACAACATTTCAAAAAAGAAGATGTGCATCAGGTTGGAACCGTGTTACAGTACCAATGTCAACCTGGCTATGAGCCTGCTACAAAAGGGTCAATGGATATAATTTGTAGGAAAGATTTCACCTGGAGCCCATTTAAGGAATGCAGGGGTGAGTTCTGGTTTTTCCAAATGCGTGTGTGTGTGTGTGTGTGTGTGTGTGTGTGTGTGTGTGTGTGTGTGTAATGCTTAAGTAATTGGACTTTATACTTATGTGAGTGCTGTTTCATCACTTAGAATCAAAATTGAATACACTACTTTAACAAAGTGGGAGCTATTTATTATCATAAGTGATCATAAGTTTCAGAGACTAAGACTGTAAAACTTTCTGTAGGCCACTTTAGAAATGAATAAAAGATATAGCTATAGAAGCCAGACAGTATGGGGGTTTACATTTCAGCTTCACTGCTGTTGGATCTGGGGGGAGTACCCAGCTCAACACTTGTCATAGTGAGACTCTACAGTCCCTCCTTCACCATGTGAAGGCTTGGGGTTCTGGTAGAAGTAAAAGTCCATGAAAACATAATGAATTGACAAGCTGCAAATTGGCATGTGTCTTATAGTTCTTGAGCCACAGATTTGTCAGTCTAACAGGTTACTTGCTTCTAGAAGACAGGTACTAACTCCTGACCTAGAATTTTTACCTCAGCCGTATAGAAAGGATAAACTTGCTCATTTCCCTCTTTGTCTATTTGTGGGGGCAAAAGAGGAGCTCTGTAAAATATTAATTACCCACCTTGGTACAGAGGTGGGTAACCACTATTTTACAGACCTAAGTGAAATTTCTAGGAGAGAGAAATTGCCTCATTTTTTTTCTAAGTAGCACAAATTTGTCATTTTAGCAGTAAAAACATGGAATCAGAATACAGGGCATTTTTATGCAATGGACCAGTTTTGAAAAATCTATTAATGGATACAAACAACAAAATGAAGCAGTTTTGATTGGCCTGTCAGTGGGGTGTCCCATTTCAGGGCTTGAAGACAAGGTAGAGGAATTGAATCATTTGGTTAAAGAAAATGTAAAATTAAAAAGAAAATCAATGACTAATGAATGGAACATGAAGAAACTCTGGAATTAGACTAAAAAGGCAAATCATACAAAAAGTCTATAAGAAGAAAAGAAATACAGATCAAAGGAACAGAAAATAGTTTCAACAAAATTATGGAAAAAATTTCCCCAAATCAAAGGAGAGCATATCAAGTTGGAAGAGGCATATAGAACACCAAATAGACAGGACCAGAAAACAAACTTCCTTGACATTTTATAGTTTAAAAAAACTAAGCATATGAAACAAAGAAAGGGTATTATAAGTTGCAAGAAAGAAAGGTTAAGCCACTTAATAAAGACAGACCCATCAGAGTAACAGCTGATTTTTCAATGGAGATTTTAAAATATAAAAGGGATTGAACTGATGTTTTACAAATTCAGAAATACCACATGTTCTAACAAAGACTGCTATATCTAGCAAAAGTGTTAGTCATAATCAAAGAAGAAACAAAAAATGTCCTATGGTAAAAATACATTACGATTTATGGCTACTGTGCTGTCTCTACAGTGGAAATTGAAAGGAATACTCTAGTCTCAAGTGAAGGATAAAAACAAGAGGTCACAAGGAGTAAATAATAATTCCAGAATGACTAATCTAAGACTAATGTCTAAGAAAAAAGCCACCATCACAATAAAATGACAAGAATTAAAACACTGTTTAATAATAACTCTTAATATCAGTGGTCTTGATTCTCCAATAAAGAGACAGACTAACCTATCGGGTTAGAAAACAAGATCCTGTAGAAGGAAGTTTCTGTCCCACAGGACCCACTGTTGTTTAGTCCCAAATAAACACACAGAAGCTTATATTAATTATAAACTGTTTGGCTGATGGCTCAGGCTTCTTATTGGCTAGTTCTCTCTTAATTATTAACCCATTTCTATTAATCTGTGTATCTCCATGTGGTCTTTGCTTACTGGTGACGCCTGGGCCTTTTCTTCCGAGGCAGCTACATGGCAATTCTCTTGCATCTCACTCTCTGCATTCCTCTTCCCAACCTTCTCCTAGTCTGTTAGCCCTGCCTTTACTTCCTGCCTGACTACATTCTGCCTGTCCATCAGGTCCGTTTGTCATCAACCAATAAGAGAAACATGTATTCATAGCATACAAAGGGACATCTCCCATCAAGATCCATCTTTTTTTCTGCCTCTAAGAAACACACCCCACTTTCAATGATAGATACCAACTTAGGGTAAAAAGATGGGAAAAGGTACTTAAGAAATCAGAACTAGTAAACAAGTAGTTTAGCTATTCTGTTATCTGACAAAATAAACTTCCAACAAAGATTAGTTAGAAGAAATAAAAGGTCATTTCATACTCATGAAAGGAAAATCTACTAAGGGATTATTAGAAATCTGAGCATATATGCACCAAATTTAGATGCACCCAATTTAATAAAAAGAAATATTATTAGACCTAAAACTAAAGATTAAATAAAACAGTGATAATGGATGACTTTACTGTCTCACTCTTATCAGCAGTCAGTAAGGCAGACAAAAATAAGCAGAGAAACATTGGGGATAAATGACATATATGAAACAGACCTAACAGGCATCTATAGAATACCTATTCTTCTCAGCAATTCTTAGAACTTTCTTCAATAGTAGGAGACAAAGAAACTCTCATCAAATATAAGAAAATTGAAATAACATTCTACATTGGGCAACAACAGAATAAAGATGGATGTTAATGGTAATAAAACCACAGAAACTCACAGAAATTAAACTACACACTAATGAATGATAATTGGGTCAATGAAGAAATCAAGAAGAAACTTAAAAATTTCTAGAAGTGAGTGAAAATGAAAACAAAATATGTTAAACTTATGGAACACAATGAAATAATTTTGAAAAGGGTAATTTATGGTACTAAGTGCCTACATAAGTTTTTTTTGAGAGCTCTCAAATTAATAACTAAATGATCCATCTAAAAGTCTTGGGAACATGAGAGCAAACCATACACAAAATGGTTGAATGGAAAAGATAAAACCAGGGTAAAAACAAAATACAGCAAACAAACAACAGTACAAATACTCAATGGACTGAAGATGAGACTCACAAGATTTGCAAACCTGTATCCAAATCAACAAAAAGAGAGGACCCAAATTAAGAAAATCATAGATGATAAGGGAAACATAACAGACACTTAGGACATTCAAATGATTATAAAAACATATTTTAAAAACCTATATTCCACTCAATGGAAAAGTCTAAAGGAAATGGGTGAATTTTTAGATGCATGTCACCAACCAGAGTTGAATCAAGATAAATCAAATAATTTTAAAAGGCCCATAAAAACCAAGAACATAGGATCAATAGTTAAAAATCTCCCAATGAAAAAAAAAATATCAGGGCCAGATATATTCAGCACAGAATTCTTCATACCAGACCATCAAAGAATAAGTAATAATAATACTCTGTAAGTTATTCTGTAAAATAGAAAATGAAGGAACACTTTCATTTTTGTTTTTTACTAAGCCTGTATTATCCTGATACTAGAACCAGATAGGAACCCAACTAAAGCCGGGTGTTGGTGGCTCTCGCCTTTAATCCCAGCACTTGGGAGGCAAAGGCAGGCAGATCTCTATGAGTTCGAGGCCAGCCTGGTCTACAGAGCAAGTTCCAGGACAACCTCCAAAGCAATACAGAGTAACCATGTCTCAAAAAAAATAAAAAAAGAACCCAACTAAAAAGTAAAATTATAGGTCAATGATGAACATAAATGTAAAACTTCTCAGTAAGATAATTGTAAACTGAATTAAAGATCACATAAAATAGATCATCTACCATAATCAAGTCAGATCCATCCCAGAGATACATCCCAGGGATGTACAACATATGGAATAATCAATGTAATCCACCAGTAAATAAACTCAAGAACAGAAACCATGAGGTCATCTCAGTATCTATAGGAAAGGTCTTTGAGGAACTCAGTATCTCTTTATGATAAAAGCTCTGGTGAAACTAGAGATTCACAAGTATATCTCAATATAATAAAAGCAATATAAAAGAGGTTAACAAGTATATCTCAATATAATGATGTCAATATACAAGATGTGAACAGTCCTCACCATTCTAAATGGAGGAGAACTCAAAGTGTGTCCAGTGAAATCTGGAAGCAGACCAGGCTTCCTACTGTCTCCATGTATATTCCCTATAGCACTTGAACTCTTAGCTAAAACAATAAGACAAATGAAGGAGATAAGGGGGATATGGATAGGAAAGGAAAATGTGTCCTTGTTTCTAGATGATTTGATCCCTATACATAAAAGACTCTAAAGATTCCAGTGAAAACACTTATTCAGCAAAGTTGTAGGCTACAAAATTAACATGTGAAATCCTTATATTACAGTGATAAACTCTGAGAAAGAAACCAGGGAAACAATCCCATTCATAATAGCTTCAAAAGTTATCTTTGACTAAATCTAAGGAAAAAATTGAAAGACTCATACAATGAAAACTTTAAAACAGGGAAGTAATTGAAGAAGACATCAGAAGATGGAAATACATCATTTGCTCATAGATATTAGTAGGATTAATATTATTAAAATGGCCATCCTACCAAAACCAATCTATGATTCAATATAATCCCAGTAAGAATTCCAACGGAATTCTTCATAGAAATCAAAAACATAATCTTAAAATTCATATTGAAGTACCACAGACCCAGGATAGCAAAAAAAAAAAAAAAATCCTGACCAATAAAAACACCACTGGAGATACCACCACCCCTGATTTCAAGTTCTACCATAGAGTGTAAGTAGAAAACACATCGTGGTACTGGCATCAAAACAGACATATTGACCAATAGAGTAGAACTGGAGACTCAAATATAAGACCACACTCCTAAAAGCTTCTGGTTTTTTATGAAGAGGCCAAAAGTACACATTGGCAAAAAGACAGCATCTTCACCGAACGGTGTTGGACAAACTGGATAACTAGATGGTTATTTCTTCCTTTCAAATGGATCAAGGATCTCATTATACATGATACATTGAATCTGTTAAAGGGTAAAATGGTGAATATTTTTCAACTTATATGCAACTTATATGGACTTTCTGAAC